GAAAATACCGAAATCCCCGATGTTTCAAGAATGTAAAAACGTATCCTTTGGATTACAAGTCTAACAAAAAGTTTTGGATGACATCAGTTTTATTTGAAGACTATGTAAGAAAATTGGATCGGAAATTCTTCGCTAAAGAAAGAAAAGTGATACTCTTTATGGATAAATGCACAGCGCATAGTTATCTACCTAATTTGTAAGCAGTAAACTTGCAGTTTCTCCCCCGCCAAACACAACAGCAAAGTTGCAGCCGATGGACCAGGGTATCATAAAGTGCTTCAAACAGTCTTATCGTAAATGGCTTGTCAGAAAAATGATCTTAAATATTGTAAGCATTTAGAAGATTTATAATTAATAAATAAGCATTAATTAAATAATCCGATAATATTTTGAAAGTCCAAAACCGAAACTAACGGTAAGTCGAACTTCCGATATGTCGAAGTTTTTCGTCAGTCCTATCAGATTCGAGTTATCGCGAATTCACTGTATATCAAAATAAGAAATCTATTTTATTAAAAAAATAAGTTATTTTCAATGTTTTCTTCCTGATTTAAAAGTACTGCGATTCTTTAACATTTATAGAAAATAGGTATACAGAGTTTTCCTAGTTTAGCACAAATAATTGTGCTATAAACGTGTTAAGTACTATTACTCAAACTGCTACGAAATTTCCATAAGATTTCCATAACATATGAAGCTTACAGTTAGAAGAAAGTAAACTCGTAAATTAAAAATATGATTTAAGATTTTTTTAACTAAATAAAACCTAACTATTATTTTCTAATTACCGAAAACATTTTTAATCTTTACATAAAACTTTTATTGTATATTGTAGGGATTTTTTATAGTATATTCGCATTTTGATCATGTAACAAATCCACTAGGCTCAAATATTAAGATATTTATTTACCATATATCTGTACAAATGAGTACTTGACTTGAATCAACTTTCTTACTTTCTTATAATTTTTCATAGTACCTTAAAACCCTGACCGAAGAGATTAAATCAATTTATATTTTCACACAGGCAGGGCTTCATGAATACAGATAAACATTTAAGAACCATAAAATATTATTTTTTAAAGCAATAAATTGCACCATATATTGCCCAATAAAATTGACACTTCTTCTTCCTAATCCCCAAAATTAGCAGGGCTAAACAATGTCCATGAAATTCATGACCCGGAGGAAGGCGGCCACCAAAAGTGGTTTTTCTAGAATGTCCCTCTTGTCCAGTCCAAGACAGTCAAGGATATGTTGGGGAGAAGCCTGCATGTTGTGGCACTTAGGGCAGTACTAGTTTGATCCTTGCGGTTACACCGAATGCTGAGTGCACCTCCTGGACGGGTGCTCTGGTAAAAATTGACTCTGGTTTCCAAGAGTTAAAGCGAAAGAACAAGTTTACCATGAATCTTCAGTTTCAACATGTACGTGGCATCAACATTCAATTGTGTTCTAAAGAGCTTTGTTTTTATTGGATTGTTTTTTAATTTTTTCTCATTTTTATATTCTTAAACTAATTTTTTTTATAAATCATAACATAATGGATAACTTTATTCATACGAAGCCGACATAATTAATGTAATTTGCTTTATAACTAAATTGGCAAATATTTTATTACAGATGCATTAATTAATTATTTTATTGGAACGGAATTAAATCTGGCATTGCATTTTTAAATTTCTTTGGATAATTAAATGATGTAGGAATAAATATGATAGAATGAATAATTTTAGCCAAAGGAAGCTTTGAATTCAGAACCCCCACGATTAGAAGATGCAAACATTTTTTTGCTGTATCAAATAACACATAAAGTGACATGCGCCGCTCATTTCAGTGTTTTTTATAAATTTATGTATGTCGTTCATTACAGTACTCTTTGTGAATTATTACGCGTCACTCATTACCATATTCTTTTTGAATTTATCTGTGTCACTTAGCACTGCATTCTTTATTAATTTATTGTATCTGTCATTACTGTATGCCTGGCATTACTGTATGCCTGTCATTACTGTATGCCTGTCATTACTGTATTCTTTATGAATTTATGCAGATCTCTCATTACTGAATTCTTCATGAATTGATTTGTGTAGCTCAGCACTGTAATCTTTATCAGTTCTTTATGAACAGATGTGGGTCGCTTATTACTGAATTCTTTATGAATTTGATATGTGTCACTCGGTACTGTATTCTTCATGAATTGATTTGTGTAGCTCAGTACTGTAATCTTCATCAATATGAACTGATATGGTTCGCTCATTACTGAATTCTTTATGAACTGATGTGGGTCGCTTATTACTGAATTCTTTTTAAATTGATCTGTGCCACTCGGTACCGTACTCTTTGTGAATTGATTTGTGTTGCTCAGTACTGTAATCTTCATCAATTCCTTATGAACTGATGTGGGTCGTTCATTACTGAATTCTTTATGAATTGATATGTGTCACTCGGTGCTGCATTATTCATGAATTGATTTGTGTAGCGCAGTACTGTAATCTTTATCAATTCTTTATGAACTGATGTGGGTCGCTCATTACTGAATTCGTTTTGAATTGATATGGTGCCACTCGGTACAGTACTCTTTATGAATTGATTTGAGTAGCTCAGTACTGTAATCTTCATCAATTCTTTATGAACTGATGTGGGTCGCTTATTACTGAATTCTTTATGAATCGATATGTGTCACTCGGTGCTGCATTATTCATGAATTGATTTGTGTAGCGCAGTACTGTAATCTTCATCAATTCTTTATGAACTGATGTGGGTCTCTCATTACTGAATTCTTTATGAATTGATATGTGCCACTCGGTACAGTACTCTTTATGAATTGATTTGTGTAGCGCAGTACTGTAATCTTCATCAATTCCTTATGAACTGATGTGGGTCGCTCATTACTGAATTCTTTATGAATTGATATGTGTCACTCGGTACCGTACTCTTTATGAATTGATTTGTGTAGCTCAGTATTGTAATCTTTATCAACTGATTTGATCCTCTCATTACAGACTTCTTTATGAACTGATATATGTTGCTCATTACAGTATTCTTTATGAATTGATGTGTGTTCCTCAGCACACTATTCTATATGAAATGACAGTCACTCACTCAGCAGTGTATTCTTTATGAATTTATGTATATCGCTCATTACTGTATTCTATATTTATGAATGAGTGTTTAATGAAAATTTTAGTATAAATATGTAACTCGTAGCTTTGTTTTGAACAGATGTGACCCGTGAGTGGGTGCCAGTGATGAAGGTAGAAATGAAGATGTAAGTGCCAAAAAAAAGGAAACAGTTAAAAAGGAAGAGGTGGATCGGAGGAAGGGCAGGGGCTCCGTTCTACGCTTGCCGCCACTCATGACTGGAGGGGAGGAAAACCGGCACCGCCCCACCGGCAAGACCAGTCTCATGGTGGCCTGCGAGCAAGGTAGAACACTCGAAGTCAAGATCATCCTCCAGAAAAAGGTAAGTTATGACATCTCCCAACTTTTAATGTTGTTAAAAAGTGACAGAATAAGATCAACGATTAAAAAAAAAATCAAAGAAAATGCAAAGGAATATTAAAAATGCTGGTTACATTGAAAACATTGTTTTTCTCCGTTAGTGGCGCCATCTGCTAACGAACTTTGTAACAAATTTTAAAACTTGATGAGATTAAATTTACTTTTTCCAAACACAAATAGCTTTCTCATTTCCAACTGTTGCCGTTTTTCTTTAACAGATTTATCTAATCGTGAGGTTTTTTTGAGAACACCTGGTAAAATGCTTCATCTAAATCTATGTAAACAAGATGATGATTGATTTTGGAAAGAAAAAAAAAATGATCCCCTCTGGCGTCATCCTGTTCACATTCCTTATACGTTATTCCGCCCTCTGTTTTATGTGCTACCAACTAATACCTTTTTCCAGCAACGCATGTATTTTTAACCGCTTTCTTTACCAATTTTTTTTTAAGGAAAAAATGCAAAGAATCAACATATTATTTTTATTTCATTAATAAATACAAGGAACTAAAACAAAACATGATACAGAAGTTTTAAATTGAAATTGTAATTTTTTTAATGTGTAAAAAACATTTAGTTTACCATCAGTTTACTATCCCAAGTTATCTTGGGCAAATTAAAAAAGTTAAATATTAGTCTTTGTGTGATAGTTTTTAAAACAACACAAAGTGACTCTTTCCAAACGCCATTGAAATGATACGCCATTTTTGTTACTCTTTTTTTCTCAAATCCAGCAACCATCGCATATACCAGGGGTGGCCGAGCTTCTTGATAGTCGAGCCATTTTTCAAAATTTTAAATTTTTCTTTAGCCGCAATTAAATACGTATTTAAAAGGTATGCAAAAAAGGCATTAAATTTTTTTTTCAGAAATTATATTTATTGAAAGCATATAAATAAAAGTACAAAATATGTGTAGTGAATTTAAATATTAAAAATTAAACGCATTTATTTCACTTCTAAATAAAGAAAATAAAGAAAAATAATCAATCATAATACAATTTATCCTAAAAGAACATTTTAGTTTTAACTTATGGGTTCTATCGGAACTTAAAACGTTCGGAAATCAATTAAATATTACATCTGTTGAAAATTAATGTTGTTGTTTTGTCTTGTTTTTTTGTATTTCTTTTTATTGCTACACAAATTCTGTTTTTTTTTAAACTTAAATATCTGCATTCAGCCATACGATAACCATAATAAGCCAAATTCAATTTATTTGAGTGATAAAAAGATCTTTGCTTGAATTACTGCTAAAGTAAAATGATTTTAGTTATGTTAAATCTGACGTATTGAATATTTTAATAATTTAATAAATCTTTTGTCATCCATAGATTGCTAAGAATCAAATTGTCATAGTCTTTAATTTCAGTTATGAAAATGCTTACAAAAAAGTAGCAGAGAAAAAAAAAGATTAAGTTTTACTTTCCTTTAATAGTATTTGTGGTTTTCAACTCCATGTAACGCAAATGTGGATTAATTCATTAATAAAACTAGTATTTTCGCCATCTCCTTGTCTTCTGGATTAGGCTCAAAAATCAAGGGTATTAAACAACGACAACAGAATCGGGTCGGCTGTTCAACGCTGATTATAAAATAAAATATAAAATAATAGTGCATCTCGTTTTTTTTTTTTTTTTTTTTTTTTTTTTTTTTTTTTTTTTTTTTTTTTTTTTTTTTTNTTTTTTTTTTTTTTTTTTAATTTAAAAATTGTCGTTGAACAGCCGCCCCAATTTTGGGTTTACGACTGCTAATGTTCAACTCCGTGACTTTGTAATTTTGAACGCAATCTAGAAGACGAGAACTCCTGGATGGAGTATTGAGAGAAATTTGCCTTCGTGGAGGACTTTTTTGGATGAAGCTAAGCGTTACATGGAGAGGAAAACCTTTGACGGTTAGCCTGACGGCAAGGGGACTCTAGCTCATGATCCGTCGACCACTGAGGATATTTTACATCAGCACTATGGTCGGTGCTAGCCGAGTGCCGAATTCGTATCGACCAGCCATGGCTGGGATTCGAACTCGGTTCAAATCATTAGAAGACGAACGCTTTATCCCATGAGCCACCACGGCTTCGGTTTTTTTTTCTTTTAAATTTATACGTGCATGTATTTTTATTGTAATATTTCACTGTGGAATGTATTATTTGTGCATCATCTCTTAAATACCAAAATGCCGCAGACTGAGGTATTTTAGTCAATCTTTTTAGTAGTCTTTTTTTTGTTTTGTTACATGCCTCCATCATTCATTTATTTTGTTCAGCTATATATTATCCTAATTATTATATAATATAACTGGGGGTCATAGTGCGCGAGGTCGGTGCTATATGGTGGTTGTGGAAATACTTTCTACACAACTGTTGAATGATACCATGTGGCATAAAACGGCATACAACACAATGCCTTGAAAGAGCTTTTAAGCATTTTGTTTTAAATCGCAAACTGCAGTTTTCGCATTGTTTCACATTATCACGAAACCTTATTAAAGAAAGCACTTCACTGTCGGCGGAATCGGCAATCGTCTTAAATATTTTGAGCACTCACTAACGCATTAAAACGCTATCTAAACCGACTGTAATACCGTCAACGTACATTGAGCTAGGGATGGGTGGCTCAGGGAACAGAGTGTTCGTCTTCTAGTGAAGTGAGCTGGGTTCGAATCCCAGCAATGGCTGGTTGATACGAATTCCGCACCCCGCTTGGACCGACCACAGTGCTGACATAAAATATCCTCAGTGGTAGACGGGTTAGAATCCCCTTACCGTCAGGCTAAACGTGGGAGGTTTTCGTGGTTTCCCTCTCCATGCTACACAAATGAGGGTTAGTTCCATCAAAAAGTTCTCCACGAAAGCACATTTCTCCCAATACTTGATCCAGGAGTTCCCTTGTCTTCTGGATTGGGTTCAAAATTACCAAGTCACGGAGTTGAATATTAGTGGCAGTAAACCTCAAATTGAGCTTGCTGTTCAACGACGGTTATAAAATGAAACAAAATTAGCAAGAAACGTTGCGCATGCGTGAAACTGCAACACTTGCTTTTCGGTGATAGTAAAACGGAGCGGTGCTTACTTTTCCGAACATGCCACCCCATATGTTATCATAATTAAAATGTCTTAATTTGCAACTTGCCGATTCGAAACTTTTCTCACATTATTTTTTATTATTGTTATTTATCTCTTTACTTACCACCTTCAGTTTATTAATCTCTTGATACTGTTCTATGCATTATATACCTCACACAGAGCACTTCATGCATAAGAGGTTGGAATTTACGAGGTCTTATTCTTTTCCAGCCTCTTGCCGTTGCGAGCCGTGATCGCAATGGCAAGACGGCTCTGCACTACTGTGCCGAGTCCGGCAGTCTTCCGTGTGCACAACTGGTGGTGGCAGCTGACCCTAACCTCCTCCACGTCCAAGACAACGACGGATTCACGCCCCTCCATCTCTCCATCATTGCCGGAAACAGATCCGTGGCCAAACTCTTCCTCAAGTACGGAGCGGACCCGGACCGTGTGGACAAAGAAAGACATTCCACAGTACACTGGGCTTCCGGTCAGCACAATTTCCTTCTTATTCCTCACAACACTCACATTTATGCTTAAGGCTGTTTCTTTTTATAAAATAATAATGTTTATCATTTTTAAACTACAGTCCTATAGTGAACCTTCAAGGGAACGAAATTTTGGTTCGCTATACCCGAGACTTCACTATATCCGTTCCGCAAACAATTTTAATTAAAGGTTCCAAACTCCCCCCTTTTATTACACATTATTTAAATAAATGACCAATAAAATGAAATACAAAAATAATAGAAATAATGCGTAGTAACAAAAAATGTGTTATCTTTTATTTTTTATTACTCTTCGTCTTGCGTACAAGAGAGAAAAAAATAGTGCGTGGAGTCCCTCTGCGCGGAAGAAGTTAAACTTCGTAACCTGCGGCGTTAATTGTAGAAGAATCAGCAGTCGTAGAAGGATCACTAGTTCTATTCAACGACTCTTTTTCCTGCTCCGCTCGCTTCCGTGCTCTGTAATAACGGTAATATTGTGCATTTTTCCCTCGTGGACCTCTTGAACCAGTGGAAGTGCTTGTGGTTGCCTCATCGTCTCGCCCTGGAAAATGTATTTGTATTAATAATGTATGTGAATGCGTCATAATGTAATTTCAGAAGAGAAAACCTAACAATCAATTGATATTCACAAGAGACGTACCTTGACATAACCTTAAATCCGTCGCATTGTCCGTGGGATTGTTTTCACTCATTTTTTACAATTGTTATCCACTAAATTTGAAAATAAAAAATACTACCCTATTAAATTATATGTGTATCAAAACAAACTAAAAAAATATTTATAGAAAAACAATACTTTTATGACTTTTATTATTTTTATGCTAGTGAGAACCAAAACAATATGGAAATGAATGAGGGAAAACTGGATCCTACCACGTGATTTCCCGGCCAATAAAAATGTAGCGTTAAACGTTTAACGCAACCTTGTTGGAAGTCGCATAAGAAGTATAACTTCAAAAAAATATTAGTAATCTTTAGCAGATGAGAAATCCTCCGCATCAGATAAGGAAACACTTCCAGACTCTCCAATAATTTTTCCAGAATTCATCCGCTTTTTATCTCGCCAGCCAGTCGAGCACATAAAAGTAGGCTCACCAAATCGCTTAGGAAATTCATCAGCTTTAACTTGAAGCATTTGTCCAGATACTGGAAGATTGTGGCTTCTTTGAATGCTGAACCAATTCAGTAATGAAGCAAACAAGAAAAATGCTTGTTGCTACATTCCATGGTTTTAAAAATCGATATATGTATTTATTTTGCAGTTGAGTTGAAAAAATGAAGAAAATTAGTCGTAGACAGAAAAAAGTCCATTATATCCAATTTTTTTTATCTTTTTTTGGTTCACTATATCCACAAAAAATAACATTATACGTGTGTAGCAAGGCAAGGGAGCGAACATTTCGTTCACTATATCCGGGAGTTCACTATAAACCGTGTTCACTATAGCGGAGTTTGACTGCATAATTAACCCTTTGTCTCAGAATTTGTATTAAACATATTTTTTTTTAATTTTGTAACAATTTAGGTCAAAATAAGTGGAAAATATAATATTTAGCATTTTAATAATTTATAGTTATGAAACACTGCATAAAACACTAGTATTTTCTGCGTTATAGGTAAAGTCTTTCAAAAACGGTTCCCTACCAAACTATAATTTAACTTATTTGTAGCTGTATTTAGATTGAAGAGAAACAGTTACTCATCGTAGAAATTTCTTTAATTTGCAAAATCAATTATCGATAAATTTTTGAATATGAATGAAAAAAATCTTTTTTTTTCAAACTACTTTTTTTTTTGGAATTTATATTTTAGTACAAATATAATTCCGATAATATAACAAATATTTTTGAGTAACGAATTTTAAAATTAAAACAGTTATTTCATGATTAAAAAATGCTAATTAATTTTTAATTACAAAAATTAAAAATTTATTCTTAAATTATATTATTAAAGTTAAAAATTTATTTTTAATTACATATCTAAGTATATTTAACTTATTAACTTTGTATATTCTAAAAAGATTAAATAAAAAGCATTAATGATCTAATCTTTTTAATATTTGAAAAGTTGCAGTCATTACTAAACAGCTTGCATCCATAAAAGTTGCAAAAATTTAGAAATATTCATTAGTTTAATTAGAGGAAAGCATTCTAAATTGGTCTAAAAGCAGCATTGCAAAAAGTGCTTACTTTAACAAGAAATTGTAGTGGAAAAATTAGACAATTCAAATTTAAAAATTAAGAATGTTTAAAATAGTTAATTTTCAGCAAAATTAAATAAAATGACTAAGAGTTAAAAAAAGAAATTTATAGAAAAACTTTCAAATTTACAGCATAACAAACGGATTTAAACATAATGACATTTTTAAAATCAATTCAGCACTTTCACATAGACAACTGCTTTCTTTTTTTACTTCTGCTTATGATAGAACATCTGAGTTAAAATCTTATAGCAGATAGAAACACTTTTTTATTTATCTCGATTCAGTAGTTTTTCAAAAAAAAACTGCATCCGTTTTTGCCTGTGCCTGTGATAGAACATCTGAATTTAAATATTCTAGGACGGTAAAGAATTTTTTTAATACAGAAAAAAAATAATAAATATAAAAAAAAAACGTTTTAGAAAATCGATTTAGTAGTTTCTCAAAAACTACATATGTTTTTGCCTTTGCCTGTGATAGAACATCTCACTTATAATCTTCTACCACAGTATTTAAATGAAGTAGTATTATTAGTAAATATTTAAATGAAGAGAAAATTTAAATCAATTTAGCAGTTTCTGGGGAAAATAACTCCTGTCCTTTAGCTTTATCTGAGATAGAAATTAGAATATTCTAAAAAAGTTGGAAACTGAAACAAGAAACGAGAAAAATTTAAATCTATTTTGTAGTTTTTTCAGAAAAAAAAACTAGATTTCTTTTCAGCTTTGCTGAGAACTGAACATTGGAATTTCCTCTATCACAGTAAAGCATTTAAAAAATAAATATTTTTAAAAATCAATTCAGTAACTTCTCAAAAAAAAAAGAAAAAAAACTACATCAATTTTTGCCTTTATTTGAAATAGAACATCTAATTTATAATCTTCTAGCACAGTAAAGCATTTCAACGAAAACAAAATCAATTAAGAAGCTTCTCGGGAAAACTACATCTATTTTTAGTTGGGCCTGTGATAGAACTTAACATCTTCTAGAAACCCGGTTTATTAAAGTTTACCGGTTTTTGAAAACCGGTTCAATAAAGTTAGTATCTTCGAAAAACTCATCTTAAGAGTTGGCAAAAAATGATATTTCTTTTGTCCAAAGTTTTAACATTTTAAGTATTGTAATTAATCCACTTTTTTTTTCAATTCTTAGTGTGTGGAGATATTGAGAGCTTAGAGTTGCTGCTGAACAATGGTGCGAATCCCTCTTTACCGGACATCCTGGGTGCCTATCCTATCCACTATGCTGCACAAATGTGTGGAACACACAGTCTCAATGGTAAAGATCCCGAGACAGGCATCAACACGCTCAAGAAACTGGTACAGAGGGGGGCATCGGTACAGTGCAGGGACAGGGATGGAAGAGAACCATTACTGTGGACTGCCAGCTCAGGTGAAAAATCATACTTGTTAAAAAAAAACTGAATTCAATTGCTGTATACTCTTTGTATATAGAATAAACGTCTCGAGATTGCTCAATTAACCCACTCTCTACATTTTTATTCTCTCCGTTACCATGGTTTCGGCGAACCTCTCTTCTTTCCTACAGCAGTATATTCCAACTTCTGACTGAAACGCATTACCGTGGGGGGAAAAGCAAGACGTGTCGTAACCGTGGTAACGGAGAGAGCAAAAGTGAAGAGAGTGGGTAAATCGTATAGCCTTGGGATCCTTATTCTATTTACTAAGAGCATAATCATAATAAACTGAGCGTTTTGTTTCAAAACCAAATTGACTTGGTTTTAAAACCTAATTTGTGAAATTTTTCAAGAGAAACATAAACGCGAATTAGTGATGTTTTTGTAAAAATCAAAGCTAATTATCAAATAAAAACTTTTCTAAACTTAAACTAATTATGCATGGTGTTCCGTAATGATCATCCTTAATATATATTTATGAAGTCTGTATAATTGTGGATGCTGAATGTAAAAAACATCAGACCTTATTCGATTGCTGGAGGAAACAGAAAGGAGTTGAAAGACGATTATCAGAAACACTTTTAAGTTTCATCCAGCAATCAAGCAGGTTTGATGTCTTGTGCATCCACCTTCCTCAATAATGATTTATCATATTAAGATACCGTTTTTGTGTTTAAATTAAATACCAGTTTTTATACACGCAATGAGCATTTTTGTTTATAATTTGTCTTAAGTAAGAACTCCTCTAGCCATTTGTATGGACCCATGGCGGTGACTATGGAATCGGGGTATAACTATTTCAATTAGGGATGTGGTGTCAATATTTAGGACAGATTTTGGATCGGGGTAGTGAAATAGAATCTTTTTCTTCGGCCAATTTTCTTAGCCCTAGAATGAAGAGAAGTTATCCTCCCTATCCTATTCTTTATTCCATAGTAGCAGACGGCCTCAGACTTCGTGGCGGGGGGAGTTCTTACAGTAGACAAACTATGTGACTAGAGTGGCCACCGCATGCAAAAAATTATCTGACTTCCCCAGACTGATTTTATCGAGGTTTAGGTGCCACGATTTTTTAGGTGTTTAGTGTAAAGCCCCCTGATGTTTCCATTTTTCTGTATTAATAAAATTTTATAAATTTTCCTTGTTATGAGTCCACCCTTTCCACTCTGTAGACTTTAAAAATATATTTTTAAGAGTGGCCGTTATAGAACACCTTTTTGAATAAAAACGAGTTAGAAATGTTCCTCTCAAAAATTTGTAATTTTGTTTGCAGGAAGCAACGAAGCTGTACTCATATTATTTACTGCTGGTGCCAATATTGAAACAACTGATAAAGATGGACTAACTGGTATGAACAGAGAAAAATTTTCGCAATATATAATTATTTTTTTTCTTGAATTATTTATTCCAAATCTTCAGTTTTTTTTCCTCACAACAAAAGGAAAACAACGTGAAGAAAAGAAAATTTCTCTTTTGTTCGTTTCATATTTGAAAGAATTAATTTATTTTTCTGGAATCGAAAACGTATAGTTAAAAACCGATGCTTATTTAAAATATCATAAAACTAAATACTCTTTTATTAAATTTAAATATATAGGTCTTAGTTAATGAAATTTCTGAAAATGCTCCAATTATCATTTTGGGGAATTTTCAATGTTTATCACGCTTTGAGCGTTGATAAATCATACTCGTAAATATTTCATATTTAGAAATACTCGATTTAAATAGTGCATAACAACATAACTTATACAATTACCTAAATTTTTAATATGCAATTGCTTGGTAAATTGTAATCTTATCTTCTCGCTTGCTAAAATATTTATTTTCCGTTAAAATTTTGTCATTTTAGAAATTAATTTCAATAATCATCATCAATGGCTTCACAGCCCAGGGTGGCCTTGGCCTTCTCAAGAAGTTTTGAAGCATTATAAAAATTTCTTTTAAGGCGTAGCAACTCATTTAAAAAGCAACTTATTTTTCTAGCGTTACATTGTGCTGCTAGCAGAGGTCACACGTCCTGCGTTGAAACACTGGTGACACTATGTGGCGCTCGAGTCAATGCTGGTGACACAATCGGATGTTCTCCGTTGTTTTACGCAGCCGCTCAAGGTCACGCTGACAGTATGCAGGTACTCCTTAAGTATTCAGCCGATCCAAATCTGCAGGACAATAAAGGAAGAACGTAAGTTTTCCTTCCTTTCTTTTCCTTCGTAAGGTTTTCTTCCTTTGTTCTTCTCTTTTGATCATTTTCTTTTTCTTTTTTGCTCCTATTTCTTTTTATTTCCAACTAACTTTTTCTTTCTTTTGTTCTTATTTCTTCAGATCATTTTATTTTTTTAATTATTTTCTTTGTTTAATTTTTTTTTTGATCTTGCATCTAAGTTTTTCTTATTTTGTTATTTTTTCTTTTAATTATTTTCCTTCATAAGTTTACGCTTCATTTTTTTTTAAATTTCTTTCTGTTATTTAATCTGCAAAATTTTATTTCATAAATTGAGAAAACTTGGTCATTAGGCACTGAAAAGGGGGAGAGAGTCCTGGCACAAAAAGTGGTGACAATTCTCTCATGCATGTTTAATTAATAATAATATTCAATTTGAAATATAAGTAAGACTAATTTTGTTTTAAAAAATTGATTATTTGAAATAATTTAAAAGGACTAATAATGTTAAATGCACCACTTAGTGATGAGTAAATTTAAAAACAATATTTATGCTTCAAAAGTTACATCACAGTATTTCCAAAGTATGGTAATATGGTAAAGTATGATAAAATAAATATATGGTAACCGGTAATATGGTAAAGTATAGTAAAGTGATCCGTATGATAACCGGTAATAGGTACCATGAAGCCAAGTTAAGAACATGTAAAAACAATGCTAGATTTTAATTTACTCAAGAAACCATTAACAGACATAAATATGGCAACATCGTCACTATTAATGATAACCATACATATCGATTTCAAAAATACTGTGATCAGTATTAATATCTAGAATTATCGAATACGATAACATTGCAGTCAATATTGATAAAATATCAGGAAATAGTGAGACTATTATACATAATTATTGAATAGTATATTATATTGATACATTTTATTTGGATAACGATAATGTATTGACCAATAAAAATAATATAAGTTAGTTTAATTGGAAAAATATCACGGTATATTGCTGAATATTGATAATTTTGACAACGCATAGTGATATTAAAATTGTCACTTATTGATTATAGGAACCATTACAATTGCAACATTTTTTTTATAAAACTAGTTAATACATCCAATGAGATTCTTATCCTATTTCCCTTTTAATTTATACATTTGTTCAAATTTATATTTAATACTATTGTAAACATCATAAAAATGTCAAGCTACATTAGGGCTTGTCTCTATTTCTGCAAAAAATGAATAAATAAAGTAAAAACTCATTTTTATTGAATATTTTGAGACTCATTTTTTTCTATATAAATAAAAGTTTAAATGAGCAAACTGTTAATAGATGGCAGCACTACAAATTTAATTTGAGACCTCTTTATTAAGAGGTTGACTTGTTAATAAAAATATATTTTTCGATTGTATAATGATTTTAAATTTTCTTAATTATTATATATTCAAGAACTCATTAAATTTTATGTATTTATTACTAACACTTAAAATGTAAACAAATCCAAAATGATAATGGTTTTACAATGTTTTTTTTTTTACTCAAATAGCAGTAAAAAGTTTATATACTGAAATGGCCTTAAATTTATCTCGTTAAAAGTTTAATCATGGAATTAAGGAAATGTAAAATATTATTGTAAAGAAAGAAAACTTAGCTTAAAAATAATTGGAAACTCATTTCTAAAGAACATAAATTATAAGTTTTTCTTTTTTTTTTTTATTTCCGCAGGTTGATAAGGCAACAACTATGTAAGGTTGCGTCTTTAATGATTCGATTCTTAACTATAATAAAATTTTTACTATAAAATAATTTTCCGTGTCCGTTTTTTTATTTATCATTATAAAATTCTTCGTCAGGAAAAAAAAACCTGTGAAATTGCCCATATTCAGCAAAAAATTTATAATTAAAATAAACGTAATAAAACTAATTTTTAAAAAATATATTTTATAATAAATTACGAAATTGTAATTGGAGATATGAACTTTTTCATCGTATTCTAGTTTTATATAACCTCTAAACTGATGCAAAAATATCCTAATTTTTTCAATCAATTCTATATTTATTTATTTTCTAAGGTGAGCGGACAGTATTTTACCTACCTAATGCTGTAGTATTAAAATAAGTATCTTTTTCCAGACCAGCACATTGTGCCGCGGCCAAGGGTCAGTTGGAAATCATGAAGATATTGGACAGTAATGGGGCTGACCTCTGGATAAGAAACAGTAGGGGAAATCTACCGCTTCATGAAGCTGTCCAATCAGGAAGAAAAGGTAAAGACAATTTAATGAAACAGCAGAACATTTCTATATTCTGCAAATTCTTTTCAATAGAAATATATAAGTTTCGCAGATAGCGTCCTGATACTCATTTTTAAGCTGAATTTTTTTTTCCAACTATGGTTGAATGTAATCTATATTATATAAAACGCTAATACGTACGTAAGTATGTATGTTTGGCAAGTTACTGATTTGGGGGGTATGCTAAAGGAAAAAAAACAAAAAGTAACATGCCAATAAAAAATAATTAATTAGAATACTAAAAAATGAAACAAGATTAATATTCGTTAAAAGATTGACGTAAACGAGAGTTATAAACAAATAATATTTAATTTAAGGGTGAAAGTTCACTTTGCGAATGGGGAGTTCACCACATATGTATCAATAAAACCGATGATATTTCTTTTCTCGCGCTGGCAACAGTTTTCATTTTTAATTGATTGNTTTTTTTTTTTTTTTTTTATCCTTATAAAATTCTTCGTCAGGAAAAAACGCGGAAAATTGCCTATATTCGGCAGAAAATTTATAATAAATAAAATAAATGTAACTAATCTAACTAATTTTTAAAAAATATATTTTATAATAAATTACAAAATTGTAATTGGAGATACGAACTTTTTTGATTCATTAGTTTCTTTCATCTTATTTTATTTTTTATATAACCCCTAAACTTATGCACTCATATCTTAATGTGGCAATCAATTTTTACACAAGTCAAATTTTTACAAGTAAATTTTTTGATGGTTTTACATTGATGGACCAACAAAATCTTGATGGTAACCATCATGAATCATTATATTTTTTGATAGTAACTAACGCAAGTAACCATTACCTCGATGTAGGAATTCGGACTGATTTATGATATTCCAACATAATATGAATCCCAAATTGTTTTGGTGGTATATTCCTGAGAACCAATAAGAATACAGTAAAACCTGTTTTTGTGCGGTGGATAGGGACCGCATAAAAGAAATCGTACAAAAAAAAATATTCGAAAATTTTATAAATTCTTACATATAATAACAACTTTGTACGATATACAACCTAAAACTTTTTTTATGCGGTGGATAGGGACCGCATAAAAAAAGTCGGACTCAGAAAATACATCAATGATTCATGAAATAGATATGAGAATGCTTTCAATTAAATTAAATAAGACCTAAAGAAATTGTAAAAATATTTAATTCTCCATTGTACATACATATACATGGAGAAGTTTTCGAATTATACATTAAATGGTTTGCTGCTACTCGTCGTAATCCAAAACGCGCATTTTCTTGGAATGAATTGGTTAAAAATCGCTTTCGTCGCTTGAAGATAGGATTTCAATTGATTTGTTTTTTGGTACCATAAAGTCAGTGATCAGATAAAATAAAATAAAAATCATAAAAACTACATATAAATAGAAACAAAAGTAATTAATTTATATACCTTTAATCTCACTATAAAATGAATCCTTAATCACATGAATCGTGTATAAAACTCTGAATACAAAATGTATAGTATTTGAGATACGCGCAGACGAGAATTTACAAAATAAAAATAACGGTTTCATTTTAAAATACTAAGTATTTTAACAGAGCAGACGATTTTTTACTGATTTAATTCAACTTGTTTAGCGCAGAATAAATTTTAAACAGATGAGAAAATGGAGTGGACAATAATAAATGAACTAATGATAGTAAATAAACAGAGCATCGCGCAGTTCAGATACATCGTTGTCAAGGAGACCACGTAATCAGAGATCGTCCACAACATGTATATGCACATTGATAGGAAACATTAAACTGGTGCTTACACCGCTAAGATTCATATACCGCATAAAAATAAATCGCACAAAAAAAATCGCACAAAAATAAAATCGCACGAAACCAATCGCACAAAAATAAATCGCATAAAAAAGGACCGCACAAAAACAGGTTTCACTGTACTTATTAAACCATCGTGGAAATGTATGGTCGGAACCATCATGAACCATCACGGATCACTATGGATTGTTGGTCCATGAGAGTAAAACTTCTCTTGATGGTTAACCATCATAGTATTAAAGTAGCATTTCCCATCATGGAATGATGAAAGTTTGTTGGCATATCAAAAACCATGATTACGCAATGGAAAATGTTGGATGATGTTGACCATCAAGTGTTGGACCATCATAAATCGCACAGAAACCAACATAAACCATCGAAATTTTTGGAGGGGGCCATCAAGAATTGTTACTTGGGAACTTTTTTATTTTCTAAGGTGAGCGGACAGTATTTTACCTAGCTGATGCTGTAGTATTAAAATAAGTATCTTTTTCCAGACCAGCGCATTGTGCCGCGGCCAAGGGTCAGTTGGAAATCATGAAGATTCTGGACAGTAACGGGGCCGATCTCTGGATAAGAAACAGTAGGGGGAATCTACCGCTTCATGAAGCTGTCCAATCAGGAAGAAAAGGTAAAAAATTTAATGAGACAACAAAGCTTCTTTTCATTAATGAAGAAAAATGAAGAGCTCATTTCATTTGTTTTTCTAATTATTAATTACATATTTTATTAATTTAAATTTTTAGTTATGAGAATTTGTTAGTTACGAGATTAACACGCGACACGATAATCAATTACTAAGTCGCATATCGAATTCACATTTGACGGGCTACGCTTACTCGAAATAAAATGGAAAGAATAATTGTTAACAAAAACAAATGCCACGTTTCTATAGCCAATCAGGATCCATACCTATGATAATGTTGCTTTAAGGTAGCATATTGTGATAAATATACATAGTAATGTATGTTTTCTTCTCTGCTAAAAAAATAAGGGCCATGGAAGAAAAAAAAACGTTGTTGTAGAAATGAAAATGAACAATCCCAATTTTACCCCAATTTTAAATGAAAATTCTTGATAGACGGAACTACTCCATCAAGTTAATTGCAAAAAATAGTCCGTTCCTATGTCAAATTTATTTTCAATATATCAATTTTTACCGTTTTCTACGTTTTAAAATTGATTTTTACTCTTTTTTCATAAATTTTACGTTTTCTTCACAAAATTTTATTTTTTAACTCATTAAACTTGTGAAAAATGATTCCTTCCTCTCGATTGAAAAATTTTCTCTCTTCATCCGTTCAAAAACACAGCTTTAAAAACCACATTTTCTTAATCCTTTATACAATTTAAATTTTTTGAAGTTTTTTCTAGAAAGTTCTGTGACTCGTAAAATTCGAATTGCGGAACGGAATGTATTCGCTATGGTTTCTATTAAAGTAAACAAATAAATATTTTATGCAAATTATAATGATCCCTCTTTTTAATTACGATGTTATTCCATTATGAGAGTTTTTAATCGCGCATTTAAATAATCACTTTTTAATAAACAAAGTGCCGTCATCAATCCAAATTATTTTTCACAGTTAGCGCTATGCATTTCCACGGGGTATATAGAATTCCGATATTTTAATACAATATAATTTCAACAAGAGGAATACGGAAAGAGAAAAACGTGTGTTTTTAACCTGCTCTCTGTTTGTAATTTTGCTTTAAATTTTTTGTAGCTTAAGTGATTTTTAAAGAAAAAAAACAGAAAAGAAAATGTTTTCTATTGATTTCATTAAACATCTAATAATTCAAAAGATGTAAATAATATCTGAAGTACAATACAAAAGAAATATTAAACTTTTTTTTGGTACTATAATGGTTATGTTTTAATCCTTGGTTTCTGTTTAACCCCTATAAATTTTCTTTCATCAAAATATTTAATTTGAATTCATATTAATCATCCGAATATGTATTTATTAATTAATTTTTTTATACTTTCATCTTTTTAAAATTAGTTTTTTTTAAATGTTTCTTACAGTAATTTATTTTAAAATTATTTTTTGTACTAAGTGATATAACAAAAAAAAACCACTTCTCTTATCCAATATTTGTGTTTTTTTTTTTTTTTTAAATACAATAAATTTTTGAGAATAAAATAGGAAATTTTTTTTATTAAAAAATGTATCGGTTTTTTCATTTTTGAATGAATTTTAAGAATTAGAAGTATTTAATTTTCAGCAAATGCTACTGATTAAAAAAAATTAGTCCTTAGAACACTAACGTTGTTACAAAAATTATGATATTTGCCGTCAACATGTCTAAATATGCATGCGATCATTTGTTATTCAACCTGTGCAAGTGAACCGTCGTTTAAAAAGGTTGTGCAACCCTAATTTAAATGTTTTTAACTTAAACGTCGACAAGACAAAGACTCAAGTCCGAACTGATTCTTATAAATGTAAAAAAAGAGGAGGTAGTTTTAACAAGGCAAATATATAATTATTTCAGGCTGTATGTGCGTAAGGCGACGAAATCGAATAGTTTTATAAACTGACAATAAAAAAAGTCTCAAGATTATCTTTCCCAAAACTTGTATTTAAATGACTTGTATTTAAATTTATAGTCAGACCCCCAAATAAAATAACACTGATCTGATTAATATTGACTAGAATAATACTCATCTGTATCGAATAAAATCCATCTATTCGAAAGATTGTACGGAATGATACCTATCTATATGTTCGAATGAAACTGTAAGGAATAATACTAATTTATATGGAATAATGTTGCATGAGATAATACTCATCTATATGGAATAATATTGCATGGGATAATACTCATTTATATCTATATAGTTGAAGGGCTTATAGCAATATAGTGATAAGCCAAACTTTTTCCACAGATGGCATTTTTAATTCCAACTGTTCCTAAGTATTGTTGCCAAATATGTATTTTATAAATTTTCTAACTGAAATTTTCCCTGTACAACTATAAGATGCATAGAAACATCTATGCAAATAGAGTGTTTCACGAAGAAGCTCTTAAAATACGCTTATCTGAGCAGTTTGAAAATGTAGCTTATCATTATTTCCCGCATTCTGTGGTTTGTAAAATATTACAATCTATTCATGGGTCAGCAAATCTTTTTTTTTACTACTCCACGACGCTCGTTTCAGTATAAAGTTGAAAACGTGGAGTATGAAGTATTGAATATTCTAATATCCATGGTTAGAAAATAGTGGTTAATATGTATAGTATAGCTAATATGTACAGAACTATGAATCTAAGTTGATTAAAAATGAGAGTAATTCAAAGTTTCTTTTTCAGATCTCGTCCAGTGGCTCCTTCAACAGTGTCCGAAAGCTGTGAATGCAACAAACATCAACGGTCGGACTCCCCTTCACTTAGCTTCCCAAAAGAATAACGTAGAAATGTGTGAAGTCCTAATTGACTATGGTGCACACATAAATCCATTGATGGTCAACGCAAAGGTAAGACATCAAAACAAGTCACAATTTTTTTAAAGAAGAATATTTCGCTCACAAATATTAAATTAACTGGAACATTACTTAAAAAATCCTGTAAGACAATTTGTTTTATTTAAAAAATTCTTCCCAATTCATTTTATTTGAAAAAGTTGAAAAAAAATTATGACGATTTCTTGTTTTATTTTAAATAATTGTTTGTTATTATGACAATGTCCTGTTTTATTTGAAATACTTGTGTAATATTTTGACAATTTCTTGTTTTATTTTGAAAAGAGAACTACATTATGACGATTTCTTATTTAATTTGAAAAAGTTGTATAATAGGAAAATTTCCTGAAAAAGTTTCAAATTTTAGGACAATTTCGAATTAAATTTAAAATAATTGCATAATATGAAAATGTCTTGTTTATTTGAAATAATTGTATAATATTATGGGAATTTCTTGTTTAATATCAAAAAGTTGTATAATAGGAAAATTTCATAATACTATGACAATTTCTTATTTTATTTAAAATAATTGTATAATTTTATGGCAATTTCTTGTTTCCTTTGAAATAGTTGTATAATATTACCGCAATTTCTTGTTTTATTTGAAATAGTTGTACAACATTATGGAAATTTCTTGTTTTATTTGAAAAAATAGAGCAATGCTGCACAAATTTTTTTTTATTTGATTTAAAAATTTTGTATAAATCAATTAATTATCAAATCAAAGGATAAGCGAATCGATGAATCAGCGTATAAATAAATGAGCCTATCAGCGAATGAGCACATCAACAGGTCAGCAAACAAATGAGCTAAATGAGTGAATCAGTGCTCAGTAATAAATCAGTAATCGGTAATAAATCAGTGTTTGAATGAATTACTGAAACAATTCAACGAATTCGGGAATTCTTCAACTAACTGATTTACTCATTCCTTAATTTGCTGTTTCATTCATTCGTTGCTTCATTTGCTATTTTATTTAATAGTCTGCCTAATAATTCTCTTATTGATTCTACCATTATCAATTTGCCAATTAATAGATTCTTTAACACATTCATGCATTGATTTGCTTACTTATCAATTTATCTATTCATTTATACGTTAAATAATAACTTATTTAGTTAGTTGGTTCATTGATTTTTTAATTAGCTGGTTTATGAATTGGCGGATTCATTGATTTTTTTGTGACTTATTGATACGATGATGTATCAACTCATTTATTTTTAAATCTAGAATCTTAGAAATTAGTCGACAGTTTAACTGGTCCGTAAATTCGCTAAATTATTGATTTATTCCTTTATTAATTCGCTAATTCATTGAGTTACTAATTGATAAATTGTATACTAATTAATTGATTACTAATTGATTAATTGTATACTAAGTAATTGATTTCTAATTGATTAATTGCATACTAATTAATTGATTACTAATTGATTAATTGTATACCAATTAATTGATTTCTAATTGATTAATTGTATACTAATTAATTGATTACTAATTGATTAATTGTATACTAATTAATTGATTGCTAATTGATTAATTGCATACTAATTAATTGATTACTATATGGTTTCTATTAAAGTAAACAAATAAATATTTTATGCAAATTATAATGATCCCTCTTTTTAATTACGNTAATTGATTAATTGTATACTAATTAATTGATTGCTAATTAATTGATTTTATTATCCATCGAATTACTCACTGGTCTTCGTTTAAATTCTACACTTAGAAATTAATTTTATGTCTGTTTCAGATACAAATATTCTTGTTGTTAGAGTGAATAACGGAAATAATATTTTTAAATTATAGTTTTTCCTAACCTCCCTAGTAAAAACATCACATGAATTCCTAGCAATTACACGTGCAAAAAATAAATAAATGAATAAAAAATGCCAGATATTAGCTATTTGCGCTGTCAACCTTGATCAGAAATCTGAAAATGGTTAAATTGTTTGAAAAATACCATTTTTCTCGTTGAACATATTAATATTCAATATTCATATACATATTCAATAATTCCGAATATCGATTTCATGAACTTCGATAAAACCTAAATGTCCCCTAAGCTAAAAGCCAGCCCCATGTTGCGAATGGATTAAAACCTTTATTTTACGTAACTCTATATTTTAAAAAGAAACATGAATAATTAAAAAATAATAAATAGCTTTAGTCGCCAAAAAATAATTAATGAAAAATGTTAATTTATGAGGAATTTAAATTCCAATTCATGAATATGAATAAAATACTTGAACAGTTTTCTTGAATAATTTTATGATTTCTTGAATCCTTAACAAGACAAAGATTATCTAATAAGAAAGATGTTTGAAAAGAAGTTCTTTCTTTAGAAATAGACATGCAAGATAATGATACATAGATAAAGATAACCACTCATAAAATTTGATGCTTTTTTTTAATTAATTGGATTCACTATTAATTGATGCATAAGATTAATTTATTACAAGACGGTATTTATTGTGGACAGTGTTTCAATATGTGGTGATTGGGAAGAATCAGAAATATTAAAAGAAGTTCCAAGATGTATTGGAAAAGGAAAATGGCGAAACTGGGGAGCTTTAGTAAAACGTAAAATTAATTGAAAAAGTAAATCACAATGTGACATTGTTAGAAATAAGTGTTTTTTCTTAAACAAATACGTGTTGTTAGACTGAAAAATATTCGATGTTCAAAAAATATTCGAGCTTTGATATCCCAAATTTTCGATATCACGAAATTTTTAGTAAATCAGTGCGATTTCGCAATTGGTTTGACAACATTTTTAAAAAAAATATTCGACAGTTAATAAAATTAATTTATAAAACTCTACCATGAAGGGTAAAAAAACTTAATTGTATGTTTTGATACAGTAAAGGTTTTTTTTTTAACATTTTATTTATTCATTTTAAAACCAAATATTTTCCTTGAAGCCTATCATGAAAATTATCTTTTTATAGGGTTTTCTGATGAGCCCTCTAGATGTCTCAGTCTACCAAGGGAATCAGAGATGTGCCAAGTACTTACAACTTCATGGAGCGGTACCTGCCACAAAAGTACTCGAAAATAATGAAATAAATAGGTAAATCTACTTGTTTTCGAAATGTTTCCAATTTCTAATACGATTTTAATTTCAATTTCATACCTCACGCATCAATATATAAACACATTTTTTTTTTTATTTGAAACTCGTTTATCTCCAATAAATTTAAAAAAAGCAATCAAATGAAATTTTAATTGAAAGATTAAAAATGAATGCTTACGTAGAATAAAATCAAAATTTTTGTAATCTGAAGTTTAAAGTTTAGCATCTAGTTAATTCATTTAAACTTATTTATATTGTTTAATATACTATTATTAAATTAAAATAATAAAAAATAATGTAATTATAACTTTTTTTCCATTAATATAATTACATTGTTTATAATAACATTCATAATTACGTTTACTAATTTATAAAACGTTTTTGTGATAGAAAAAATCAAGTTGAACAGATTTTCGAAAAGCTATAATTTAAAAACAAACAACTAATGATTTACGAAGATATTACAACTAATGTATAATACCAATTTTATATTTTGTTTACGTATAATCGTCAGCTACAAAGTATGTGTTATGTTTGAAATCGTTGATTTATCTATAAAGCTTTGTTTTGCATTTTAAATGAAACTTTCAAAAGAATAGTGACTAAAGGAATAATTTATTGCAGTAGAAACTTTAAAAAGATAAAGATATAACAAAAAGGTAAATTATTCATAAATAAAAACAAAATTTAAATTCTATCTAAAATAATACGAAAACTCACATTGTTCATTTTTTCAGTTTAACATTTGAAAAGCTATGTAAATAAAAACCTAAATTTATTGTGGAATATATCTATGAACAGTAAACCACTCAAAAAATAAATAACACAATATTTGTTGGGAAAAAGTCAGGTTTTTAACTGGTTTACGGATTTTTTCGTATAATAACACTATGAAAATAAAATAAAAGTTAATAAGATAAGCTAATTTGCTTTTAGCAAAAAATGTTGTCACAACAAAATTTAGGATTTTTTTTTAGTTTAGAAAAATTAACAACAATAAAATATAAATAGTATTTACTTATCTGTAAAGTATTGTTTTACGTTTTAAATAAGCCTTCAAAAGGACAGTGATTTAAAGTAGAATTTATTGCAGTAGAAACTTTATAAAGAAAAACATATAACATAAAGGTAAATTATCTATTCATAAAGACAAAATCAAAATTCTGTTCAAAATATATTTCCAGTTTAACATTTGAAAAGCTATGTAAATAAAAACCTAAATTTACAGTGGCATTCCACAGTAAATTTAGTTAAAATATTGAACAGTAAACACTCAAATAAATTACACAATATTTTTTGGGGAAAAGGCAGTTACTGGTTTACTGTTTATTTTCGTATAACAAGACTATGAAAACAGAATAAAAGTTCATAAGATAATTTGCTAGCGCAAAAACTGTTGTCATGATAAATGTTTGGACTTTTTTTAGTTTAGAAAAATTAGCAACAATTAAATATACTTACCCCTGATTTGATAATAAATTTACGCTCATCATATAGCAAAAGTTGAATTCAATGTCGAATCAGATAATCTCATAACTTCCTCTACACACCACTAAAAAACCATTCTACTATGCCGATATTATAACACTATAAAAGAAAACACTCAGTTAACAGTTCTTAGCAAACACAAATCATCTAAAGCACAGTTTTTTTTTCTTCCTTTACCTAAATAACAACACATTACGATACATTTGTTGAATACATACAGATGACATACATACAGATGACGATACATACAGATTATTAATAACGTTTCCGGATGACTATTTCAGCCCGTATCAGTTTAGGTAATTGTATATTATTACACATACATATGAATCAAAATTACGATGTCCCGCAGTGGACTGATCGTTAAGACACGGTTCCCAGCAGATCACCGAAGTCAAGCATCACTGGCTGCGGTCAGTGTGCGGGTGGGTGACCACTTGGATCAGTCTGCGTAGGGACCGAGGGTGTGCGGTATTGGTCCTCGTTAAACTGTGCTACCGTAAAGTGCTCGACTTCGCGCGCAGGTCGTCGGGCTACCGAAGCGGGGGTGCCATCCCCTCCGCAGAGGATCAAAATTGTGATGGCATGTCTTCGGATCATCCTCCGGGATGTTTCCCAGACCGTCGCCAATAGCCCATTGTGCAGCTCTAGTGCGACGTAAATTAACAACAACAACAACAAAATTACGATGGTATGTCATCGGATCATCCTCAGAGATGTTTCCCAGACCGACCGCCAATAGCCCATTGGGGAGCTCTAGTGCAACGTAAATAAAGTATCTACCTACCTGGACAGATCGCAAATACACGGTTCCTAGTAGAACACCAAAGTCAAGCATCACTGGCTGCGGTCAGTAAGCGGGTGAGTGACCACTTTGATCAGTCTGAGTAGGGACCGAGGGTTAACCAGATCGGTTCTCGGTAAACTGTTCTACCATAACGCGTAGATTGTCTAGCTACCAAAGCAGGGGAGCCATTTCCATTGAAGAGCATCAAAATTGCGATGTCATGTCTTCGCCTCAAGGATGATCCGAAGACATGCCATTGCAAACTGTGCCTCCCAGACTGCCACCAATAGTCCATTGTGCAGCTCTAGTACGACGTAAATAAAGTTCCTACCTACCTACACATACATATGTAGGCTTGTGTGCTCATTACAAACTAGGACTTGTAATCCTTTGTCAAGTGAAGCAACAGATAGCACAATTTTGAGAAGCCGATCACACAGATAGATCCAGAGTATTGGTGGGTTCGAATTCGCTACCTTCACGCTGTAGAGCGCTTGGTGAAACAATAAGACCGTTCAGCCCAGGTGAACACAGTTTGGTCACGTTGCTAAGGTCGAACGTTGTTAAAGTCGAACGAGGACCGATTCCGCACACCCTCGGACCCTTAGCAAACTGATCTAAGTGGTCACCCACCCGTCCACTGATGCTTGACTTCAGTGATCTGCTGTCCTGAACCGTGTCCTAACGAACAATCCACTGCGGGACATACTAGTAATGCATAAAATAAAACGATTAGGGAATCACCGTGTCCACGAGGCATTATCATTTCGCCAAACACTGTATAGTGTGAAGGAAGTGGGTTCAACTATCCCCTCATAACCATTTCTTACATTTTATTTTATAACCGTCGTTGAACAGCCGACCCAATTTTGGGTTTACAACTACTAATGTTCAACCCCGTAGCTTTGTAATTTTAAACCCAATTCAGAAGACAAGGGGACATCTGAATAAAGTATTGGGAGAAATTTTGCCTTCGTGGAGGACTTTTTGATGGAACTAATCCACATTTGCGTTACATGGAGAGGAAAACCACGAAAACCTCCCGCAGTTACCCTCACGGATCCGTCTACCACTGAGGATATTTTACGTCAGCACTGCGGTCGGTGCAAGACGGATGAAGAATTCGTACCGACCTATTACTCGGATTCGAAGTAGATTCACCTCATTGGAAGGAAAACGCTCAATCCCCTGAGCCATCACGGCTCTAACTATTTCTGATTTAAACATTTTGACATACTTTTGAATTTCATCTTTGTGTGAAAATTTTGAGTTTTTTTTTCCTGCAAAAAAAGGGAAAAGCGCCAGACGTTTTTTAATTCTTTCATGGAATGATTCTTTCCTCTTTATTTAAAAATTATTTTGCCATGAACAGCACTAAAACAGACAAAAATCGACAAGAACAAGCAAATACAGAGGATTGCAGCTTCTTACGTTTTTGCAGTGTTCGTTGAGCGACATATAAAGATAAAAACGCCTCTTTTTTTCAAACAAGTATGCGTGTTTTGCTTAAGTGAAGTGAGTTGCTCACAGTGGATTTCTATAGTTATTTTCTGATCACTTTCTTCAGCGATTTCACCGAATGTATTTCACCGAAATTGTATTATGAATTTAATAAAACATTCCAAACATGCAGTAAAAACAACACTCTTCACGACATTAAATAATCCTAATAAGTTAAATTCCTAAACATGGTTTCGCTGATTCTTTAGTTGCCAAGGCAACTAGAACACATTTCTTAATGTCAAAGGTCCCGCAGTGGACTGATCGTTAAGACACGGTTCCCATCCTACGGTTCCATCACTGAAGTCAAGCATCACTGGCTGCGGTCAGTGTGCGGGTGGGTGACCACTTGAATCAGTCTGCGTAAGGACCAAGGGTGTGCGGTATTGGTCTTCGTTAAACTGTTCTACCGTAAAGTGCTCGACTTCGCGTACCGGTCGTCTGGCGACCGGAGCGGGGATGCCATCCCCTCTGCAAAGGATCAACATTGTGATGGCATGTCTTCGGATCATCCTCAGGGATATTTCCCAGACCGTCGCCAATAGCCCATTGTGCAGCGCTTGTGCTACGTAAATGAACTACTACTACTTCACCGAATGTATAAAAGCTTTTTTTTTCGCAATTTAGTTGGGGCATGAACTTATATAATCACCTAAAACTTAAGCTGTTAATTATTCGTGTTATCTTCTAAAACCATTCATTAATTGTAAATTATTTAAGTTAACTCTCAAAGCCATTCATTGATTATTAACAACCCATATGTTAACTTTAAAACTAATCATTAGTTGTCAATTTTGAAATTACTCATTAATTATTGCTGATTATTCATATTAACTTATACAACTATTCATTAATAGCTAACGATTCGGGTAAACGTTTAAAACTCTTCATCAATTATTAATTTTTAAGCAATTTATTATTTTTTTCATTATTCCGATTAACTTTTAAAGCTATTTATTGATTGTTAGCTATTCGTGTTCATTTTTAAAACATTTCATCAATTCTTAACCATTCCATATTAACTTTTAAAGCTATTCATAAACTTTTGACTATTCAAATTAACTTTTGAAATTATTCATTAATTATTAATGGTTACTTATGAAACTATTCTTTGTTAACTATTTATGTTACTTTTTAAAACAACCCCTTAATTGTTAACTATTCATATTAGATTTTAATACTATTCATTAAGTATTTGATATTTATGTTGACTTTTAAAACTATTGACAAACAATTCATTTTAAAACTATTTATCGATTGTTAATTATTCATTTTAACTTTTAAAACTATTCAATCATTGTTAGTTAGTTATGTTAATTTTTAAAACAATTCATTAATTATTAACTATTTGTGTAACCTTTTAAAGCCAATCATAAACTGTTAACTATTTATATTAATTTTTGAAATTATTCATTAATTGTTTATTTTAAATCTATTTCTTCTTCTTGTGCACTACAGCCTATGACAGGCCAAGACTGTCTCAATAAGTTTTTAAAAGCTATTTACTAATTGTTAATTATTCATATTAACTTGTAAAGCTATTTAATAATTGTTAACTATTTATGGTAATTCTTAAAACAATTCATTAATTGTTAACTTTCATCTTAACTTAAAAAAATATGCATTTATTATTTCAGGAATTTATTATTTTCTCTTGGAAACTTTGCATTCAACCAAAAGGAAAGGTCAGACGAGGAGCCCGTCTCAGCCGCCAGTTTCGATCCTTTTTTACTCAAGCCAGACGGCAGGTCAAGCATACCCCGAGACACACAAACCCGGACCATTCGAGCCGGACAGCCACAACCTCTACCGCAACCCGATGTTCCGGACGAATCCCTCCTCACGAATGTGACTTCAGGCGAGGTGACAGACGCTTCTGTTCATATACACCTCACGCGTGATGACCTGTGGTCACTTTGGGAGTCCCTCATGCAAGAATTGACTTCGGAGATGTCTGGCTCAGAAATGTCATCAGAAGGTAAACGATTATCTCGACAAATCTCCGCAATCACCGCCCTTAAAACATATTTTCAGTGTCCTTGTGAAAAATGAAGTAAAAAAATGCTTTCAAGCTCTAAATCTCCATACCTTTTTTACTTCAAAGCAGATAAGAATTTAAAAAATACATGAATTTTATAATCATCGTCCTCATCGTGAGGATGATACGATTATCATATCGTCCTCAATTTGAGGACGTTATGACATTGCACATTATATTGTCCTCAATTTGAAGACATTATAATGTGTCCAATGTGTAAAGGACATTGTCCACATACAGTCTCTACTTCAAAGCAGATAAGAATTTAAAAAATACGTGAATTTTATAATCATCGTCCTCATCGTGAGGACGATACGATTATCATATCGTCCTCAATTTGAGGACGTTATGACATTGCACATTATATTGTCCTCAATTTGAGGACGATGATTATGAAATACCCTATTCGGCCAAAAGTGTCCGGACACCCAGTGCTATGGACTTAGAGTGTCCTGGGGCACATATTAATATGATGTTGGTCCTTTTTTTTTTTTTTTTTTGCATCGATGACAGCCTGCACACGTCTGGGAAGACTTTCCGCCAGTTTGTGATAGGAATTGACTTCCATCACAGCTGAAGTGATTGCTTGCAGTGATTCGGCTGGCTACGTAATCTGCTCTCGAATTCGTCCCAAAGGTGTTCTGTGGGCTTTAGATCGGGGCTCTGAGAAAACCAGTCCACTATTTGAACTCCCATTTCGTCAAACCCTGTCTGTGCAAGCCTCGATGTGTGAATAGAGTTGGGATTGCAGCATTGTCCACATACAGTCTCTGGCCAAATTATTAGACGCAAGCTACAGCATTATTGTTATTACGCGACTGAAACCGGTTTGCACTTGTTTACGTTCGTGTATCAATGGGTTAAATCAGATGATATATAATATAAATTCGACGATTGGATGAATTAGGCGGTATGTTATATAGTATATTTATTATATCAAGTATTATATTAGTATATTATAATAATTAGACCAAATTATTAAACGCTTCGTAGTTTTTT